ACTGAAGTTAAATGTTTGGCAAAAAGCAGTGCCTTTTCGAGATCACTTCTTGCCCAAGGTTCATTTATATCTTCTCTAACTGGTGGTGCTGGAATTTTTGGTTTTTTATTATTCCGAATTGGCTGCCAGATAGTATTGTCCGTTCTAGACAGGCTTAAAATATATTGTTCAAAATTTTCGGAAGTGGCTAGTTTTAATTTTGCTTTGAGCAATCGGCATAATTTATTAAATTGAGTTTTGTCTTCTGGCCTGTGATAACGTTGCCATTTTGCTCTTGCCCTCCTTTTCTTCTGTATTAGATTTTTTATTTCCAGCGGGTACTTCACGAAAATGTAATTCTGGAGTTGCTTGTACCACTGACTCCTGAATGTTAAAAATTAAGTCGTTTATTGATTTATCGATATCTTCTTAATTTTTCAATCGCATTTTAAGATTTGTTCGTTCATTTAGTGTGTTGCGAAATTTTTCCCAATTTGTGAATTTATTATAAAGTATTCTGTTGTTTTTATAGGAATTGGTGCAACTCCTATTGTTAGAATGATTGGAGAATGGTCGGATGATAAATCAAAAGATGGTTTTATTTCAATGTAATTTTCATCAATATCCTTTGTAATGAAAAAATCTAGCAGATCCGGTATTTTATTAGTATCGCTCGGCCAGTATGTTGGGCTTCCAGTTGATATGTAAGAGAGATTGTTTTTATCTATTGCATTTAATAATTCCTTGCCTCTAGATGTAATTAATCGAGAACCCCATCTTGTATGTTTGCAATTGTAATCTCCTCCTACAATAAATTTTGGGCCTAGTTGTGAAAGAAAATTTTCGAAATCTATCTGTTTAATTTTATGTCGTGGCGGACAGTAAACCGCTGACAATGTTATGTTATACGACTGTAACTTGACTTTTATTGAGGTTGCCTGCAGGAGATCATATTGATAATCTGGTAAAGGATAGTGATCAATTGTATTTTTAATTAATATAGCTGTTCCACCATGAGCTGTACCGTCAGGATGATTGCAGTGTTGCATCGTATATCCAGGTATTTTAAAATATGAAAAATTTGTGAAATGCGTTTCACTAATTAATAAAATGTCTATTTGGTTAATTTTTAAAAATGTAATTACTTCCAATCTATGTTGAATGATTCCGTTAGCGTTCCACAGTGCAATTCTTAAAAATTTAGCCATTAGTGTTGTCTTTTATTTACTAAGGTTGTAAGCATACTGAGCACCATAGTGTTCTGTTGAATCAGTTGATTAAACATATTTTTAAATTCTAGAAGAAAAGCTGTGAAGTTCGGCCCTGAACTTGTTATGTTTTCAGTACTGTTGTTATTGTTTAGTACCTGGGAGTAGGTTCGGTTATGATCTTGATGTGAATTCGTCATTGTGTTGTCGGAGCGAGAAGTGGCGTTTCCATTATTTGATGTGATACGATTATGTAATGTTGTTGGATTATTTTTGAATTTTTGATTGTATAGCTTTTGATAAATAGGGCACCCACGGTAATGAGCACTGTGCTCCATAGAGCAGTGATAGCAGCGGTTCGGTGCGTCGTTCGATTTTTTACAGTCGGCAGTACTATGGTTATCAGAACATCTGGCACAAACGTGGGGTCTGTTGCAATATTTTTTCGTGTGACCAAATAATAAGCAACGTTTACATTGTATTACTGTTTTATTATTATTAGGGGGTTCTACACGAATAATGTGATTTAATATTTTTGTTACCAAGTAGACATCTTTATTATTTTTATTCGGTTCTAAATCTACGTAAAAAAGATTGAGCGGTGATTTAGTTACTCTGCTAATAATATTTGTAATATTTCTGACTTTGTGACCCAATGCAGCAAGTGCGTTGACAATTTGACTTACGTCCGTTGTATGGTGCAGGTACCTAATGACTACCCGATACGCCCTCTCCTCTTTCAATTGGTATGTATGGTGTGTTACTTTAGTATTCCTAAAGTGTTTTGTAAGTGTACGAAACACTTCAGAATTCTCACATAATATTTTGATTGTGTTATTGTTGACAGCGCGCAATGTGTATTGTTTTGGGTCGATAATTGTGTTTAGTTCATGAATCATTTTGTTCATATCATCAACGTCATAAGTAAATATAGGAGGCGGCTTTTGGATTGTTTGGTTAGGTGTGTTTTCTTGAGAATTGCTACCGGTACTTTTCTGAACTTCTTTAATTGTTTTTAGAGGTTCATACCTGTTTTGTAAATTAATTGAGTACGGAGAAATTGTTCCGTGTATTTTTCGTTTCTTTGGGTTTGGAGCCAGCTGCCATGGATGACCCGGATTGTAGTCACTATCTTCGTTCATTTCTGAATCTTGAGAAATATTAGGTTATGGAGTAATGTTATTTGCATTATTAATTAGAAAATTATTAACGTAATCGGCATCAGTCATAGAAGTATCTTGAAGCACATTTTGAGATTCTAGTATCGGCGGGATGTTATTCATTTCCCCGAAGGGAATGAATTACTACACGTATTGACACTCACTATAACAAATGTTTTTATTTTTTCACAGTATTAAATTAATTTGAAATACAAAATCAATAGTACATTAACACACTTGTGTTCTTCACAACAACAACTGTATAAGTAACCGGTTTGTAGGTAAAACTATTTGTTGACCTTTAGACATGTTATCGCCTCAGCGGTTGCAGGTAGACTGTTATTTCGGTATGATATAATAAGAATTACGTATAAAGTAAATGATATTTTATGTTTTCTATCTTAATTATCAAATTTTTAACCCTTTTAGACCCTTAAAAACAACCCCTTGATGCAAAATTGTTTGACAAAATTATTTTGAAATTGAAAGAAAATTAAGAAATTCAAAATGATATGAATGTTATTTCAATTTCTCGAAAATAATTACCACATCCATAATTTGTTCAAATCATAAAACTACCCTTAAATAAAAACAGTTAATATAACACTAGTACCCAGTATAATTTTGTCTAAACCCGCATATTTGTTGTTCTTTTTACTGCAATTATTGAACTTCCATTTGACTATAGTGATATAAAACTATATTAATTTATTTAACACGTGGACCTTTCAGCCATACGATACTTTACTATAAGAACAAATCGCCTGCCAAAATTCTGTACCGTGAAGATAGATACATTTCATGATTAACAAAATAATACAAAATTTTGTGGTTGATGAAATGAAAATAAGTTCGACATTTTTTCTTATAATTAGTTCTTCTATCGATTTCCGCCGTTATTTTGAAAAAAATGTTATTACACAATTGAGAAGGGGTGTCATCCCCCCAGAGGGTGGTAGCGGTACCCGAATTGTTTTCACTTTTTAACTTGAGGTTAAGATGAACCTAATTCCAATATTTCATTCAATTCGGAGCACAGTAAAAAAATTCAGACCCTAAACGCTCCGTTTACTGCACTATATGTAAATTCTATAATATATACTAAAGCTAGAACTTTGAGAAAGGAAAAATTGAGAGAAATAAACTTTGGCAGTAAGTCTAATTGGCAAATTATGACAGAATACAGCTGATGAAGAAGATATTATTTAAAACCTACCAACGCCGGTCAAAACGCCCGTTTCAAACTTTGTGTAAAACTTGAGACATTTTTAATCGTTAAAATACCATTATCAAACTATACGACAATTATAGAATATACTAATAATATTTTCTGCACTCTTTGATTTTAGTATATTTTTCTATTTTCCGAAAAAAATTGTTATGTGGCCTACCGCGATCAATTTGAAAAATACTGTCAATTTCGGTGTTGCTTCCGTCGAAATGTAAGTGCAGATTTATACAAAATATATGAAATTAACCAGACAAAATAAATGGATTTCTCAATTTGGGAAATGACAAGAGGAAAGATTGTGGAATTTTCAATTGGATAGTTCGTTGTTCAAAAACTCGCACATTCATTCACATATTTTGAAGCAATTTATATAAATCAAATTTCATTACTCTCACGGTGTATAAAAGTAAACTGAAAAAATACTTGGCCCATTCAAACATTATCAAATAGAAAAAGGAGAAAACAGCAAGAGAGTACCGAAAACTGTTAGATTTTGTGACCTGATGGAAATGTATAAGATATGTATATAGAGAAACAACGAGAAAAAGCATATTTAGGCACAAACTTTTGTTTCAATCATTTTTTTTATCTCGATGATGCACATTCAAAATTTAAAGAAAATAAAGTTTTTATGACAATGAAATCAACTAAATGAAAAAAAATGAAAATCAACTAAAAAAATTGTAAAGAATATGAGAAAGCCGAAAAAAGTATATTACGTATGCATATGACATTCGTTCTGTATTTAATTATATATCTTTTTTTTATAATTTCTTTTAGAAATTATATAAAAATAAATTTAGATACAACTTTATGAAAATTACTTTATTTCATATACATTAAACAATAAATCAATCGTTATTTGAACTAACTAATAAAATAGATAGCTTTTTAATTAATAGGTCAAAATTTGACCGCGCGCGGTAGGGATAGGTATATGTATGAATTGTCGGTAGGTTTAGTGTTATAATATTACTGATTAATCACAAATAGTATATTTTGACTTAACAGTCAACATTTATTTTTATGTAAAAACATTAGCACAAATATATAAAAATTATGTTTATTATTTTTTTCAGTTGACAACTCCACAAATCATATAAAAACTTTAACTTTAATGACAATTATTTACTCACTATTATTAGTTATTAAATTTATGTACCGTTACATGTAAACTATACATGTAGTTATACATTCTTCATTATATTTTTCAATTTATATTATAACACATTTTTAAAAGCAATATACATTACTTCATCGCTTTTCTCCACTTTCTGTTTTTTGGAGTTAGTAACTGTGTGCACTGAACGGCTCATATACCTTTCACATCGGGAATGATTTTAGCCGGATTTTATTACAATATTATAAATCATAACCGAATTTTTAAAAATCGTTAGGATAAAAACATTTGAAAATATAAACCTTTTGCTGCAACTGATCTGTAAAGATCCAAAGCCTTCTCGCAGCTGGGCGCCACCGTGATTCCGCTCCAATATCGATACCCCAACGCCATTTGAGCCCATTCATTTCCGCCCAAAGCAGCAATTGTATAATGCACCAGCGCACGCGATTGTGAAACCTCTACACCGTATCCTATGGAGTACAGAAAGCCTAAACCCTAAAAAAATGACAAAGAATATATATATATATATATATATATATATATATATATATATATATATATCTTATATATAAAATTCTTCTGTAACAATGTAAGTTTCATTAATCCTCCTGAACTATAATTCGGATTTCCATGAATTTTCCTGAAGTTTGTTCGGGAAATTTTCTAGAATGTTTTAATTCATAGAAATATAGTTAGATTGTAGAAATAAATGGAAAAAAATTACAAAAAACCGCTTATCATTGTTTGACCTTTAAAATATATAATGCATGGTTTGACATTAAAAACAAATGACAACTGTCATTTGCTAAACATTTCTATTCACTTATATGCTAAGGCAATATTAAAATATAATAAATTCATGATTATAAATAAAGAAAATGTAATGTCTACATTATTATTGTCGAAAAGCAGCTGAGATGTGCCATAATTAAAATAATATAAGATGCAAATAATATAACATGCGTCTGACAGTCTGCGCATGCGACTGAGGCGCACGGCGAATCGTGTTCTCAACGTACGCGTGGATTGCTTTTGCTTTTGCCTGCAATAATTTTGTTTGCGCACTTTGCGAACAGATTCCTCCGTACGAATTCGTGCGTAAGAGACGAGCCATAAGTGATTGCGCTCAAAAGTATTCAATTTGCAGTCGTTTTGCCTTACTATACTAAGTCACAATACAAAAAAAAATTACTTACTCAAAAAATTATTTAGAAGTTTCATTGTGTCAAAAATTCATATGGTTGGCATTTTGTACGGAATATTTACTCATTGGAGCGATTTGGTCTGAACTTTTTTTTACTGTTTTCCAATTCGTTTGGAATTTTGGAATTAGGCTCATCTTACTCTCAAGTTCAAAAGTGAAAACAATTTAGACTCCTTTGCACTACCCGGGGGGATGCCATTTCTTTTCAGTGGTGAAATAACGTTGGGTGTGGATAAAAGTACTAATTATAAGAGAAAAATGTTCAATAATGTTTTTCAAAAAAGCAAATACTTTTCAAGTTACTGGCTACTGAAAATTTGTTTCTTTTTTGCGTTTTTCATCGTTTTTTGCTAATATCTTCAAAAATATACATTTTAACGAAAATCATGTAATGAACAAAATTATATCAATTAAAATCCTAATAAATCGCTATTTTACAGTGTTCTAGGAACAATATTAAGTTAATTATAAAAATGGGTTTTTATAGTTCTCAAAATAAGCTTTAAATGAAGTACTTCTGCGTGTAAAATGAGTGAGCTATCATGAAATTAAAAGACGCATACAATGTTTTTTTTTCATTTAAATCAAATAGTTTATGAGTGCCATTTCCACCAAAATTAAAAATAATCGTTTTCCATCCAGAATTAACTTGGTTTGAGAGATCTTGATGGATTCTAGAAAATACCATAACATTAGTACAAACGATTTTCAAAAAACTCATGATTTCATAAAAAAATCCATTTGAAAAAACAACCAATTTCTCATTATAATATCTCTGAAAGAATACGTATAAAAGTATATATATGAAAATTCCAGGTATTTTTCTGACTAATTATTGCTTTTTATTATTTTTTTGTTACACAAATATTGATAGAGATCTAATTGTTTAAAAAGTGCGCGGCTGTCCAACCGGAGTGTCTTTCGAGCCCTTTAACCCTTCGCCGTTTCAAAATAAGAGAAGTTACGGTAAAGTTTATGATAGAGAAAGTTGTAACTCATTTAATCACCTTTAAGATACAAGTTAGGATAAAATTAGAATTAAAAGAGTTATAATCCAATTAATGCGGGGGGTGGTGACGAAATGCAAATTGTTTTCACTTCTGAACTTTAGATTAAAATTAGCTGGGCACACGCTTTTTTCCTCTCTATTTGCTGCAATAATTTTGTTGATAGTAGGTTGAATAGAGAACAAATTAATTCACTTCAAATATGAACTTAAGTAATAATGTATATTGAATTATTAGTGTGAAAAATGCAATTTAGATATTAAAATACTAAAAGCCAGTTAAAATATGGTACGAAATTATAAAAATTGTAGGCATTATTGAAGCAATTATTTTGGGTAGAAAAATCCAAGGTGATATTGTACCTTGACCGCGCATGCTATATATTAATTCTTTCTGAATTTGTTATACTTTTTAAAAGATTTTTTATTTTCAGCTATTGACTTTCATATTTCATGCTATGACAATAAAAACATGGTGATAAATTTGGAAAATCAATGTTTTAGCCGTGAATAAACAAAAAATCATTCATTTAAACATCCACATCTACAGGTATGTCTAAAAATATTGTATAACCCTTAAATTCATTAAAATAAATTGAGCTATTGGAAATAAATTTGTTCTATAAATCGCAGTGTATAATTTTTAATATATAATTTTATTGAACATATTTTAATATTTGTTAAAGGGATAATTAAAGTGTTAACTGTGGGAATTGAGAATAATCATTTTATTTGAAACAGTACTACATTTAACATCACTCATATATTGGTGTAAATAGTAACTCGAAAAACAATAATGATTATTTTTAACTGAACGGTATAAATATTAGTATAGGATATTAAAAAAACGTAGAGGTGAGTACAGGACAACGTCTGTCGGGTCATCTAGTATATATATATGTATATATATATATATATATAATATTGTATAACTTTATTTTTATACAACATTTTGAAATTAGACTAAAATAAATAAAAAAATTGAATAAAGATTACAATAATTGTTGTTATCGTTTGTATACTTTAATCTATATGAATTTAGCGTAAAAAATGTTTTTTCCCGCTCATCAACATTATTGAATGTCACATATAGACTAAAAAATATTAATTTCTATTATCATTATGAAAAATTGCTTTTATCCGTTTAAAACATGGAGATTTATGCATACTATCAGGCCAGATGGTAGCTGAGTTTTTTAACTCTGCTGATGTTGGTACGCCAGGTACACGTCTGCGGTAATAAATATAAGGTTTTGATACTATAAGGAATAAAATATGTAAATGGCAGACATCATAAAATACATTCAAAAAAATTCTTTTCTGCATTTTCAAAATCGTCTGCCACCATGTTAACCGCGCGATAATCGTCTGCCATTGGTATTTTACGATAGTAATAATGTTATATTTTCAAATTTTCGAAACGGCAACCGTCGTAAAATGGTTCGGATATGGGCGAAAAAAGGTACCTTTACCAGCTGCGCAGTAGCTGTGTCCGCCAGTTTGGGCTTAGTCAGTCCCCATCTCATGTATGATAGTTATAGAGGAATCGATGCAAAAAATCTCAGGTGTCGTAAAATACATACTGTCATCCGCCCACGGGCTCTTGGACTATAAGTTTATTTTTAATTTCAACAAACTTTTTTTTATTTATTTTTCATAGCAAGCTATACATAGTACATTCAGCTATATTTGTTACAATTATATATTATTTGACTGCGTGAGAAGGATCGCTATCCTGCGATAGCGCCTTCATGGATGTTATGTTATATTTTGTAGTAAATCATTGCATCATTTAACAAACGTCAGAAAACTACTCATTTTCTCAAACTTTGATGATTTTTTGAAATTAAACTACTTGTCGTGAGCCGGTAATATTTCAGTAAGTTCTACAAGGCCATGATATATATCCCAAAAAAAAGTTCCATAAAAATCGGCATAAATTTTTTTTCAACAGTTAATTACAAGAAAACGGTTCGGTAGATTATCCCCTAAATTTAATCATTATCATTCCCAACTACTATTGTTACTAATATTGTTCGAACAGTTCTTGATTTTTTAAAATCATTTCGGTAGTATGAGCTTAAATGCGGACGAAAGATTTACCACTTTTCTCCAAATTACAAAGAAACGGCTTGGCAGATCGTCGCACAAAACTGACGAACGATAGTCCACATTGAGATACATTAAATGGCTTTTAAACTTTTGAAATCGGTTCAGGAGTTTTTGAGAAAACGTCGATCAAAGGTCTAATTTTGACAAATGCCAAAAAACGATACTAATTTTTGCAAACTTTGACGAATTTTTAAAATTAAACGACTTGTCGTAGGGCCGTAATATTTTAGTAAGCCTATAGTATCTACCGTCAAAAAATAATAATGAAAATCGTCGAAAAAAATTTTTTCAACATGTTATTACAAGAAAACAGCTCGGCCGATCTCTACCAAAAACTGATCAGCACGATTCCCAACCAATATCTTTCGAACGGTTTTTGAATTTTCAAAATCGATTCAGAATTGCGGGCTGAAACATGGACAATTTTTTTTTCACTTTTCTGCTATTTATAAGGAAACTGCTTTGCCGATCCACGCACAAACGCTAGTCCTCATCAAGATACATCGAATGGCTTTTAAATTTTTGAAATCGGTTTAGCCATTTTGGAGAAAACGTCGATTTACGACAAAAAATCTGTTCACACATACACGCATACCCATATATATATATATATATATATATATATATATATATATATATATATATATATATATATATAGAATTTTATGATATGAGTGGAACGAATATTAATTGTTTAATATGAACAAAACAGCACTCAGATTTGTTTAACACAACTTTATTTTATGATTACAGACGTTTCGAGACCATGGTGTGTCTCATCTTCAGTGTAATTTCAAAAAACAGTTACTTATATACTACACATTCTTTAATAATTTATTTAAATTTCATTTAATTTTTGGTATACAAAAAACACCAACTATTCCTTGCAATGCTTGACACAGTACTAAAGAAACATATAACACTTACCGAAATATTCTAAACAAATTTGAAGTAATTATCTAGATGGAGACAGAGAGGGTATCATTATAATGTAAACAAAAGGAGTGCTATCGCATACAAAAATCGATAAAAATGAAAAAACAAATTAATTTATTGAAAAGAATAAGATAAATGAAAAAATTTATAAATTATTAATGATGTTTATAAAATATTTGTGTCGGTTCTTAGATTTATGCTATTGTTAGTCCGAACTATTAACATTGATTCTGCCAT